GCCGGAAGCTGCATAAGCCCACCGTGCTGAGCCCTGATTGGAGAGGAAACGGCGGCTCTGAAGCCTGGCTTCTGGGAAGTCTTGCAGAAGAGTGGGGGGTGGGGGGAAGCACGGGTGGGAAGCGCGGGAATAAGAACAAGATGTGGGAAGGGCTAGCTGGAGATGGCTGGGGCTTCGGTTGCTGAGGGAGAGACCAGAGTAAGCCTCTGGAGCGAAGGGTAATGAGATGCCCCAAGTCCCAGCAGGAAACACCGGCGTCACCCCGGATGTGGCTCTGCTTGGTCCTTCTGCGCAGCTGCTGCATCACCGCCATCTCCAACTAGCATAATGCCTTCTCGTGCTGAGACAGATTTCCACGAGCACGAAGTACAGGGCCGGGGAGGCCTGCTCTGGCCCCTAGCTCTGGGGCAGCATCCACCCTGGGCGGGCAGCGCTGGATCAGCCCCCTGCAGAGCCCCGGAAGGGGGCCGCGCTGCTGTCCCCGGGCATCCTTCTGCCAAGCCTGCAGGGTGTGCAGGGAGCCGCTGTCGCTGCCACCCACCCGAGGGCCAGCGACCTCCGGGAAGCCTTGTCAGGGAACAGGAGACCCAGAGCCACGCGGGCAAGCCCAAACCGAAGCCCCTCGTGTTTACGACCGGTTGTCGACCAGCTACCCGCAAAGGACACTGAGGATTCCACAGCCCCAGCTACCAGCCGGACATTAAGACACAGAACCTCTTCTGTAATTTCCACGTTATCTGTGAGGAAAAGGCACGTTTATGGGTCGTGGCCTGTGTGGCCGGGCTACGTAAAGCCCATCTAGTTCCTCTGACCTCCGTGCCCCGACGTGCTGTCTATGATACTTTCATTGTAAAGGCAGGGGCGCTGGAAGTGCCCAACGGGAGCCGAGGCTCGAACCAAGGAGTCCGAGAGGCCGAAGCCGCGCGTGCCTGAGTCCCGCCCGTCACCTCTAAGTGACACTGAGTATACAAGAAAGGCCTCTAATCCCTGCTCGCCGCCTTTCTGATCCTGCTACGGGGGATCTTATTCATTCTTTTAATACACACGTACTTTAACAGGTACTTTGCTAACAATGAGGGCAGTTTCTGCACCTTTGAGGAGTGGGGAGATTGAGAGGAATGGGGTGAATGCCTTCAAGGTGGCAGGGATGCAGTGCAGGTTTCCCAAGCGAGTGGAGCCAGGCAGGGCAGAGGGTGCTGCAGAGGAGCGGCTGGGTGCGACTGGCTCCCCGTGGGGGCCGTCGTGGGGGTCGCGGCTCTGTGTGGCTGAGGGAGAAGGTGTGAGGGGCAGGGAACGGCTGATCTGGCTGGAGATGGGAGAGAGCCGCGCTGGGAAGACAAGGAGCAGCCTCCATGCGCACAGCGAGCAGCGGGAAATGCCGAGGCTTTTTAAAGCAGGAAAGCGCGATCATCAGTTTTCAGGGTAACTTTGGCCTGGCACGATGGCGCACACCTGTAATCCCAGCGCTCAGGAGGCTGCGGTAGGAGGATCGTTGAGAGTTTGAGACAAGCTTGGACTACAAAGTGAGCTCAAGGCCAGCCTGAACAGCATGGCAAGACGCTGTCTCAAAAAGGAAAAAAAATCAAGACATCTCCAATCGCACTGTGAAGGAAAGCTTGGGCAGGGGTCAGGCGCAAGAACCAACTGGAGATGCGTTGGTGACCTGCAGAAGAGAGCACGGGGCTCTGCCCCAGAGCAGGACGTGGACACCCAGTGCGTATTGCAAGTCAGGGTCAACAGGGACCGGTGGTTGATCATGAGGGGCGGGAAGGGAGGTGTCAAGTTTGACCAATAACTTGGGCAGTTGTGTCATTCCCTGGGACTCGGAGCGCTCTTTCATCACAGGAAATTCTGTCTAAGGAAGCGCTGGGTAAGCTATAGAGTACAATAAACACGGACACCCATGGCAGCCACAGGGACAGGCCTGAGCGTCTTGAAGAAAATCTTACCAATTAGGAAGGTAGACACACAGCTCTACATATGGTAGTAAAGATGTCCCTGTGGTGAAATAAACACAGTGATCTTCGTGCCAACCACTGCCAGTGGGCATGGTGCATGCCGAGAACTCATTTCATTCTGTTTTTTTTTTCTTTTTTAAAGAAATAATTTTATTGGGAAAAATGAGACAGTTTCAAAACTGATTAGTAGGACAGTTTCAATACTTAATACATTGCATATTGTTGTCTTAGTGGTTATCCATTATACAAGATGTAGACATGATATCCTGTCCACAGTCACTATTAGAACAAATCTCTCTATTCATTGAACTAAGAGAATGCAGCTGTGTATCTATCATAACTATTTTGAATATACAGATACAAAATGGTTGTTCATTTGTATCCCCCTTTTTTTGTTTAGTTTTGTCAGAGAAGAGCATTCCACTGTCATTTAAATATTATAGTTGTGTGAATTCAGCAAAATATTCCAATATAGTCCAGTAGTCCTTAATAGTAGAAACCTGACTCATTTCGTTCTCGCAGGACCACATTTCACAGATGAGCCGGAGACCTCAGGAGGTCGCCTGGGGCTCCCAGCAGACTGTGGCGCAACTGAGAGCCAGCCGGTGGCTGTCTCATGTCAAAGCGTGTCTCCTAACCCACCTCTCTGTAGGACAGACTAATAGCGGCTTCTACAAAGGATGAATGCGATCATGTGTAGGGAGAAAGCAGGGGCTAAAAAGATTCATAAAGTTGAGGGCCTGGGACTGAGATGTAGCATTCCGCCCTCTGGAAAGCGGGGACCCTTCTGGAAGCAGACCCCCACTAAACAGAGACCCATTTCTGAGACCCAGTGGTCACAGAATGGAGTTCTCACTCCATAAAGGTGCAATGTGCAGTTTTATCACTAGATGGTGTTCATGACATACTTTTGAATATCTAAATATTCCTGAGGAATTTGCCCTGTCTGGTAGCCAGGGTAATCAATTAACATCAGTTTTTTTCTTTTTTCCTTTTCTTTCTCTTTAATTTTTTTTATTTTTTAAAGAAAGTACAAAATAGTATTAAAATAGAAAAATTACAAATGGTACAGAAAGGCTGGCCAAATAGCTCAGCGGATTAAAGTGTCTGCAAGCAGATTCAGGGGCTGGGGGTTCATCCCCGGGCCTGCCGTGCTGGCCCCACCCTCGGGGAGCACTAAGCTGGCACCTGAGACAGAGCATGGTGGCGCGCACCTGTAATCCCAGCTCTTGGGAGGCTGCAAACAGGCGGATCACTACAAGTCCAATCTAGTAGTGAGACCCTGAACACCCTGGAGACCCTTCCCTAAAATATAAAAAAAGAAGAAAGGCACAGAATTTCACCAAATAAAATAATAAGAATTTCACAGTATGCATTGTATTGCATAGTGTTGTATTCTGGTTAGTTGTTCATGTTACCAGATAGATGTATGCAGATTTGGACGAAGAAAGAAAAGAAAAGAAAGTAAGAAGAGGGAAAAGAGGAAAATAATTTAAAAAGAAGACAAAACAAATTGAGCTCCTTTCCTTAGACCAGCAGGAATCCAGTTTTTGTAATCGAGGCTTTTGCATCTCTGATGCCAGGGTACTTTCCATTAGTAATAGATCAAATCACTGTTTTTAAACATTCAGAATACTTCTGTAATCTACAGACATTTTTCCTTGTGTTTTCCTAGACTTACTAGAAATTATCTGATAATCCATCTGATAATGATCTGCTACTAGTCACTGTCCCGAACACATTAGCTGTGCAGCTCAGAGCCATCAGGAAGCCAACATCAGGGGCCGCAAATCTGCTCTGGCTGCTGGACACTTGCCCTCTAAGCCTTAGGCTTCCACAGCAAGGCATTCCTGCTGATGCGGCGCCCCCATGTCTGCTCGCCTCCCCTTAATCACTAGGCAGTGTGTGCCATGTGGTGACCCCACGATTCGGCCTCCATGTGCCAGCTCCCAGCATTATCCATGTATGACTGTTGGCTTATTTCATTTTAAGGTAGAGTCACAGATCTGCTGGACTCTTTACCTCGTCCTCCGACTCACCCTGATGTCTACTGAACGACGTGAATTTCACATTAGAAACAGGAACAAATGGCAAGGTTTTTCTGTCATCTCCAAGTCTGTCCTGAGAGGCTGGGCAGGGACAGTGTGTGTGGCAGTTCACCGCACATGTCCGTCACAATGAGACCTTGCTTTGTTCTTCACTCTTCTGCTTTTGGCTATGCCTAGGTGCTCAGGCAGGGAGCCTAAGGCTCTTAGTGCTTTCACCCCACAAGCTTGTGCAGTGCTCTCTCATTTCAGTGCCTTTGTGTTGACCCTCTAGGCATTGCCAGGCTCTGCGTCTTGCCTTTTTAAGACCCGCTCCTTGCCAGGTGTGGTGGCGCACACCTATAATTCCAGCACTTGGAAGGCAGAGGCAGGAGGATTGTTGTGAGTTCAAGACTAATCTGGGCTACAAAGTGATCTCAAGGACAGCCTGAGCTGCTTAGTTAGACTCTGCCTCGAGAAGACAAAAAAAAAAAAAAAAAAAAAAAAAAAAAAGACCTGCTCCTATAGGCTCCTCTCAAATACCGCTCCCCTGTCCATCTTTTCTGCCTCCTCCAGCCTGTCGCTGACCTCGCCTTTGGACCCAGCGAGGCATCTGCTGTTCTGGATCTCAGTCTGGACTAGTGTCGTTTCGGTTCTAAATATATTTTTGTCTCCCCTACTTGGTTTTGATTTTGAGGATCCCAGATTCTCAGAAGGTTGAGGGTGTGATGTGATTTGCCATGTTGTGCCACCTTTGCAAAGTAGGAAGCGTATGTTTAAAAGAACAAATTTGGGGAGTAAAACAGCCTCAGCTCTTCCACTTCTCAGCTGCGTGCTAGGCGAGAACTGCTAACCCACTGAGAGGTCCTGCATAACTATAGCTATAGAACTATATATAAGTAAGAGTACCTGCCCCACAAGGCTATTGCAAAGAGCAAATGAGAGAACGCCAGTAGAAGGCCTCCCGGGCCGAGGTCACACCAAGCACGCTGCCTCTTTATCTCCGTGCTTTTCGTCTTCACTCCTGAAAGTGGATGCAAAAGAACCTTGCTAGATTGGCTGGAAGGAACTGTGTGTCTAAAGACAAAGATAGGAAAGCACCGTGTTTGTGAGGACCCAATGTGAAAAGCCCATGTTGGGAAAGAAAGCAAGGAGAGAGGGAGGGAGGGAGAGAGAGAGAGACTCTGTGTGTGTGTGTGTGTGTGTGTGTGTGTGTGTGTGTGTGTCTGTGTCTGTGTCTGTGTCTGTGTCTGTGTGTGGCCCAGTGTGGACCTCCCATAGTGGCTGGCACAGGGCAGCTGCTTCGTAATTGTTGGTTGTATTCCCAAGCACAGCTAAGCCATGTCTTCGTGGCAGTGGGGGGGAGCAGAGGAGGGAGGTCAGTGTCGCCAGCTCCTGTGGCACTGCTAGGACTCACACTGCTACGACGCACGGATCCGATCTCGGGACTAGGGCCATCTGTGTCCTAAACCCTTCCACGGAGAGCTTGGTGGGTAAATAGAGTTAGTGAGTGAGAACTAGAGAAAATGCCTCTCTGAAGAAGCACGTTGGACCAGTCCCGAGTACAGAGGTTCCAGATGCGAGGCATGGCTAGATCAGGCACTAGGGCCCACACAAGTGCCCGTGCGTGGCTCTAGTAAGGACAGTGTACATGCTGGTATTACAAGCTTTGCTAGGGTACTTTAAGAAAAAAAAGTGATGTTAATAACAAAATAGTAATGGAATTCCCAGACAGAAATCTGTGTTTAAACGGCGTTAAGGCTGTGGTTTAAATCAACAAAAGCCAGGAAATCCAAAGTTACCCTTTATCCAGACTGTTAGGCCACTTTTTCCGATGCTGCGTGTGCCTCGGAGCAGTGCCCCTCTGGATTCCTGGGCTCTGGCAGCCAAAATCCCTGGGTCGGCCCTTAAGGGGCCTGCAGCCTGAGGGTAGAGGGGTCCTCTAAAGGCTTCCCTGTGAAATCACTATGGGTCTGGGCGTCGTGGACCCGGAGCTGCTTTTTCCTCTTTCAGCTCTTGGAAGCCCTGCGTCTGCCTAATAGTGAATCCTCTGCAGGCAGGACGGCAGCCAGCCTCCATGGTAACCAGGTGGCTGCCACCCATCTAGTCAGCAGCGCCCACTGAGACCCTGGATCTATAAGTGGACCACATTTTAAAATATGTCTCTTCTCTCTTTTCACTAGGCACGGTGATGACTTGATTGTCACTCCTTTTGCCCAGGTATGTGTCACCTTTGCCCTGGCTCATTCTTCCTCTACCCTGGGTATGCTTGCTTGCTTGCTTGCTTGCTTGCTTTGTATTTAGTACAGGGTCCACAGGGTCTCACTACATAGATCGGACTCGTAGTGATCCTCCTGTTTCCAGCCTCCCCAAGTGCTGGGATTATAGAGCGTGCCACCGAGCCCAGTCTCAGTCACCATCTCAGTGCACCCCAGGGATGGGACCAGCACGACACACTGGGGATCTAACCCTGGTCCCTGCATCTCCCTAAGCAGGCACTTTACTCTGCGGAGCTACCTGGCCAGCCCCGGGTGTGCTTTCTAGACGTGGCCGCTGAACCTGGCCTTGGGTCACTTCTAGCCTTAACAGTTTGACTATCTTCCTCCGAGGTGCTGGCCAGCTTGCGGAGTGTGAGGAACAACTTCACCCTGCTGACAAACCTCCATGGAGCATCCAACAAGTAAGTGCGAGGTTGTGCAGTTGGGAACTCCTGCCCCTGACGCAGAAAGCCCTGAACAGCCCCAAAGGAGCACGCACAGCCATGCACGGACTCTTGCCCTCCGCATAAGCGACGCCAAGCACGCAGTGGAATCTGAAGGGGCGCTAGAGAGCCATAGAAATCGAGAGCAGGCTGGAAATTACCAGAAATGGTCTGATTTGAGTTTTATTAATTTTTGGACCTTGAACACCTAGCACACGGTAGAAATACAACAAAATGAGAGGAGGAATTTTTTAGATGTCACCTATCTGCCACTTCAGCAGTAAAGACCACAAAAGCTATTAAAAATGTTTTTCTTTTGGAAATTAATGAATACAGAGCCCCCTTAAGATTAAACATAATCAAAAGTTCAAGTCCAAGTTGCTGCAGTTTTCATTTTTTGGTACTATATAAACAGGTTCGTGGAGTTGACAAAAAGAGCACAACTATTCTCTCCTCTGCCCTGAGCTGCGCAGCCGCTCTTTTCAGTCAGCATTGCTGAGCCGTGGTCTCCTCAGCTGTGATGTGAAAGCATAGAGCTGTTCCCTGCAGTAACTGTCTTCTCCCAAGTCATCACAACCTGTGAGCCTAATCTAGGTGCTGTCAAGTTCAGTTTTCTGTGTGTTTGAAAAGCTCATCTCTGTCTCTGAGGGTCACAGAACCCATGACCCTTGGATGGTAAGGCTGAGGGAGGCTTTTAAAACCATTCATTTGGCCAGATGTGGAGGTACACCCCTGTGATCCCAGCTGCAAGAGGCTGCAGCAGGAGGATCCCAAGTTCAAGCCCAGGCTGGGCAACTTAGCAGCTCAGTGGGAGTGTGTCTCTAAATAAAAGCTTTTCAAAACGGCAGATCACATAACTGCGTGCGAAGGCTGTGTGCTCATCCTTCAGTACTGAATACATAGAAGACTGGTCACTTCACCTCTTGTTTGTTTGCCTAAGATAAGCCCAAGCCTTCAGAAACCCAACAACTGGCCGACAAATGTGCCATACGCTAAAGACACATTCGAGGAACCCCGCAGCTCCCGACTTCTCAGCCAGCACTCACCGCAGGGCACCCGAGCCCTGCAACCTTTGCCGAGTCACCCTGCAACTTGCTTTGCCTCATCCAGAACTGGATGAATCAAGCTTGTTAAAAGTGAGACCAAAATCTGCTCTCAGGGACAACTTCCGCTGTCCTCTAACTGGTTTCAAAGCGTCCTTGTGAGCGAATGTATTTGCCCCAGTGGGGTCATTCCCATGGGTGTCCCCTCCTCTAAATTCTTCTCTAAACTTTCAGCAGGGCAAACTTTCCCACAAGCTGTGTGACCAGAGTCACTCTCCAGCTAAAGGCAGCGCAGTGGCCCGCTGTCATCACTGGCCATTAGAGAAATGCAAATTAAAGCAATACTGAGATTCTGCCTTGCCCCAGAGAGAATGGCCACCTCCAAGAGAGCGGATAAATGGTAACACGTGCTGGTGGTGCTGTGGGGAAAAGGGAAAGCTTCAGTGTGGGTAGCAGGAATGGAAGGCACTGTGGGAGCCAAGGTGGACGTCACTGTGGAGAGCCTCCCAACAACTAAAAATAGGACTCCCATTCCACCCAGACATGGCCTGTCCAGCTATCTTCCCCAAAGTATTGAAGACGTCACACTGCAGGGATCCACGCAGTCATGTTTACAGCAGCGCAGCTCATCACGGCTGCATCTTGGAAGCAGCTTGCTTCCATCAGGAGGTGAATGGGTTTTTAAAATGTGGTATTTACACCCCATGGAGTAGTACTCTGCTATAAAGAAGGATAAACTTGAATCGCTGTAGCACACTGAGACCGCAATGCTGAGCGGAATAAAAGGTTTCTCTTAGGTGGAAAACCTAAAATCTAAATAAAGAACAAAATAAAAGAGAGATCATAGGAAGTAGAGAGGAGGGATCTTCCTCAAAGGGAAAGGGATCAGGAGGGGGATGACAAAAGGATGAGTTATACCTTGCAGCAGCTCATACAGGGTGCAGTGGTCACATGCAGCAGGCCTGGGCTAATAAAAACCAAAGTTCCAGTGGGAGAGGTTGGCTTCCAAGGCACCTGGCTGGCCAGCTGGGGTTAATGTGATTGAGAGAAGGCTGGACTGATTTTAGTGCAGTGTTCGGGGTGCGTACTCCTGATCCGAAAATCCTAACTTGGAAATGTTGTAGTCACCAACATGATGACAATGCTGAGAGATGAAAAGCTGCACACTTGAGCCCATGTGACAGACAGGCTGCGGCCAAAATGCAGGTGTGCCATCAAGACCATGTGACCCAGCTGCAGCAGTATGCCTGCGGCATGTGACAAACACTTCCCCTTCACTGCACTTTGTTGGTCATCTGGGTCAGGTATGGGAAGAAAGCTCTGCAAGGCTCAGAGCAGAGAGCTTTTTAGGAAGAACTTAGGAATAGGCAAAGGTCAGAGAGCCTGAAGGTGAAGATGTGAGCTGAGCCAGTGTTTTCAGGAACAAACACAGGAGAGTGACACCAGGGACCAAAATGGTGGAAGTGGGGCTGAAGGGGGAGGATGGGTAAGCAAACAGCCAAAGCCTTCTTAGCATAGGCAGACTCAGAGCTGCCCTATGGCACAGCCCCAAATGGGAGGTGGCCCAGGGTTGGGGTTCTCCTCTACCGCAGTATTAGGGCCTGCAGCCTCACCCTGCTGGTTAGTAAGCTGTGTCAGCTTCCACTCTTTCTTAAAAATCAGGTCTATATATGGCCTTACTGTCCTGGGGCCATGTTAACTTTTAGGAACCAAGTGTCTGAGAGCCATACTCGCCATGCAGAGCCCTGCCCCAAAGCCATTCCCACCCTCGTGGTCCTGGTGTCACCTTCGTTGCTTTGTGTGGCCACAACCACCAACCAGAACAGCTCTCCAATAGCAAGACAGATGCATCTATTGACTTTTCTCAAATCCATCTCCAGAGCTGATCATGTTAGTAATTTCCTGTACTTCTTTATAACTAAGGCCAAACAACAAAAATTGCAGGCAGGACAAAGATCCACTGGCACATCTCCTAAGGGAGACCAGAGGGCTCAGCATAGTCCAGGTTGGGACGTGAGGGATGAGGCTTGGCCACCTGCTGCTGCAGGTTGGAGAGCTCAAGGTGCATTCAATGCATCCCACAATAGTCCTGGAAACTCAAGGTCCTGAAACAACAGAGGAAAATGCAAGAGAAGAGGCCAGAGATGAGGCCTCTGCCAGGAGCAGACAGGCACACTCACACACAAGAGTAATTCACACCGAAGGATGCAACTGCAGGACGCATGGCTTCAGAAGGTGCTCTCTCGGATAACTGACCTGGGTTCTGCTCCCTGGCTTGACTGTAACACTGAAGCAATAATTACATCCTTGGAGGGGTTTTCAGGAGACATCTGGTTCAAGAGGTTTGTTGTATGAAAAGGAACTCCCAGATAGAACTATGTTTCTCTGGAGCTGAAGCTTCTTTTATCTTTGGCCCTTTGCTCTGCACAAAAGCTGTCCATTGTCTGCTGAGCTTTGCTCCCCAAAGGGTGAGATTCCCCACTCTGCTGCTGAGGTGATTTTTCTGCACTTTCATCAGCTGTCCTGTGGAGGGAGGCTTGCTTGAACTGCCGTTTCTTGGCTGTAAATTAAAACCTACATTTCTTTTGTCCTAGGAGTTAAGTTTGCAAATGTGGCTTTCGTTTAGAGCCACATTAGAGACTTATTTATAAGCACCCCAGAAGCATGTTTTGGCTCCTGGCCGTGCCAGTGGAGCCGTCCTGTGTCAGGAGCTGAACACAGAGCTGGGAGCAAAGTGCCCTCCTTCGTCATCCACCTCTGCCACACATCACAGATGCCACGTGTGGCAGTCAGGCAACCACGTCACATCTTTGTACTGACATTCTCACAAAGCATTATTTGGTCAAAAGGGCTGTAATCTTCGGGAGAGAACTAATAACCACTTCAATTTTTTGTTATATCTGGAAATCTGAGACCTTTCATTGCTTTCTGTACTCTGGCCTGGGATTTAAATTAGCTGAGAATCATAAATTCTTGAGCCTTCAGAACTGGAAAAATCTGAGCCAAATTTCCTGAGAGTAAGTGAAGACAGAGATGGAAAACCCCCTGCTCAGGACCTAGCACATTGTAAATCAGCAGTAAAGGCTCGGGGCTGCCCGCTCTCCCCTCACGAGGGTCACACTGTTGAAAAGTGCCTGAGGCTAGAGTAGGATCCTGCAGTCCTATTTACAGCCCAGCACTCTGCTCAGAGCTTAGAGCTGGAAGGTATGAAGTGATAGGGTTCCTCCTCTCCCCTCCACCAGCCAGGCGTGTTACTCACTGACTTTTCCATTAGGGACTATTGGAAATCAGACACGGAGTTGATTTTCTTTTGCACACATTCCAGTTTGGTAGCTGGTGCTGTCATGCCTGTGAGTACTACTGTGGCTCCCAGAAGCCACTTGAACGTTGAACATGTACTGAATCTGCTTTGCAGCAGGTGTCAGGCATGAGTGACAAACCAGGCAGACGCAGTCCTGCCATTCCAAAGCTTCTGCACAGAGCTGCTTGCATGAGTTAGCAACTCTAAATAAAACCACATTTTCAAAAATAATTTCTGGGACACAGGGATGTGTGTCACAAGTGTGATTTCCAGTAGTCACTGAGTGAACAGGGTGCTGTGAGCAGCCACGCCATTAAGAAAGTTGAGGGGCTGGGGAGGTAGCCCGGCAGTCTAAGCACCTGCCTGCAAAGCACAAGAACCTGGGTTTGATCCCCTGTACCACATGCCCTGTCAGCCCGTGCAGAGACCAAAACCGGGCGTGGTGGCGCACACCTGTAATCCCTGTGCTGGGGGGGCTGAGACAGAAGGAACACTACAAGTCTGAGCTGCATAGAGAGACCCTGTATCAAATGAATGAATGAATGAATGAATGAATGAATGAATGAATGAATGATTAAAGAAAATTTTAAAGAACATTGAGATTTCCATCCTAGATCTGAGAGTGTTTTCACAAAAGTGTTTGGAACTCAGGCAGAGATGCAAAGCAGAAACATCCCGATGCACAGCGAATCTAGCAGACGTTTGTTAGACACGTGTGTCCCCCAGATATGATGCTGGCGCGCAGCAGGGCAGCTGTGAACTCAGCACAAGCTTGGCTTCCATGTCTCGCTGGTGCACTGGGGAGGCAGAGGGGAAGATGGGAACTGCGATTGTTCGAGCGGAGGAATAGGGCCGCGCGGGCCCAGGATGCAGCAAAGCACAGGTGAGGCCTGGTCTGCTGAGGGGTGGCTGGGACGAGAAAGCGAGGCAGCGACTGAAAGACGGTCAGGTGTTCTGCGCGCAAGGTATGCACCGTGCAGCAGCACCGGAGCATGCGCACTCAGAACAGAGCCCAAACCGCCTGCGAGGAGGAAGCTGAGGAAGCGTTCACCCCGGGCCGTTGGCCCCTCAAATACTTTCACATCAACACGTCGTCCAGTCAGGGGTCGGCCAGCGTGCTCCGAATTTACACTATCCTCCTGGATGTTGGCGGATCCTGCAGGGGAAATGAGGAAGGGTCAGCTCTACCTCCTGTTGCCCACGGGTCCCAGATAAGGGGCGCAGATGTTACGATTACGTGAGCTGAACAGGAAGGAATGACCCTAGTGGCGCAGATAAAACTCCATAGGAGACTAGAGGAAGCACCATTCTCAGCCACAGGCCTGGCATCCTTTGGAGAGGATGGCTGGATTTTGAAGGCTGAGGGCCACATTCAGGGGGGACAGAGTTTGCTTGCCCAGCAGAGGAGCAGGCTAAGCACTGTGGGAAGAGATGTCACGTGTCCACAGAGAGGAAGCGATGCAGGGTGGCCTCCGCAGCCTCCAGCCGGCTCTTTCCTCCACCTGCCCACCTGCTCGTCCATCCATCCACTTGCGCATTCACTCTTTTATCCTTCCATTGGATACTTATCATCCAGGAGTTGGCAAGTGGGAGGGCATGCCTGCCTGGTGGCCCCGAGTTGGGGACAGTCCTTCGCTGCCTGCACGGAATTAATTTCCCTGTGATCCAACGCACCTTCTGTTGATCATGCACTGTGGACAGTGCCTGTTTGAGTCCCAATTTGAAATTTCTGTCAAGCAGAAGTACAGGATCCGTGAAAGCCCTCAGCCAGTCTGTGCTTGGAGACAAAAGATTGGATGGGGAGAGGTGTAGGAGATATGCTAGGAAGTGCGTTGGGGCCAGAGAACAAAGTTCTTTGCCCAACCCAGGAGTTTAGAATTTAATCTCTCAATTTTCTTGGAAAACAACCTTCAGTATGGGTGCAGGCGTTACCAGTCGTAGGCCTGGGGGAGCTTGCACTTTGAGCCTGAGCATCTTGGCTGTAGAAACCACGTAGGCCTGGGCGTGTTTCTCTGCTTTCCTGAGCTTCCTGTCCATTGTCCTTAAAATACTCCAAGCAGAGGCCAAGAGGTCCCCAGCACCGCACTACTAGAGTAGAGCAATCATTGGATGACTGTTCCCTCCTTTGTCACATGTGGGCACTGGTACCACAGACGGTGCCTAGGATCACCCAGCTGGTAAAACGGCAGCAGTGCCAGACTCTTTCCAGAAATTCTACAGGTACAGGGTAAGGGGTCACAGTGGCTGCATCCCTGGGGAACCAGAGATGGGTGTGCAGCCCCGAGAACCTAGCAATGGACACCGCTTCTCTCTCAAACTCCCCCAGGCTTGGGAATGAACGCATGAGTAGCACAGATTCCCAGGCCTACAGGAGGGCTCTGCAGGGGCTGGAAAGGGACTGCAGAGCTCCCCGAGTAAGCCTGATGCTCTTCCAGCCTTGAGGACCCGTGGCTGCAGCCTGCTGGCTTGCTCACTGCCAATGCCCGCTGCCACGGAGTCCTCACTCCTGGTGGCTCTGCTCGGCTGAGTGGCATCAGCAGCACCTGGAAATTTGTCAGGAGCACAGAGTGCAGAGCAAGCCCAGGCCTGCAGAGTGAGTGAGTCCAGAGGTGGGGCCTGGAGATCGCTGTAGGAAGCCCCCAGGAGTTGCCATGGGTCCTCGCGGAGAGCACCGCCCCGCCCACTTCCAGGGAGCTTCTCGAGTAGCGCATCGTGGAGGCTGGCATAGGAAGCAGTACAAAGAATAAGGGGAGCAAAACCAGTGAAAGTAGGGGAGAGCTACAGAGGAGGAAGAGGACAGCAGCAGCAAGGAAAGGAGAGGGAGCCCCAGTGTGGGCAGCCCTGGGCTTGTGCACTGTTTCCCTTGGCCCTGGAGCCGGCAGGCTTGCTGCAGCAACTGTACCCTCGCTCTGCCACAAGGACTTCCCTAAGTGAAGAAAGCGGATTCTTGTTTCTAGGGGTCTGTGGGGCCTTTTAAATGACTTTTTCCTCTCTCAGTCTTCATTTTATGAGATGCAAAAATGGGAGCTTGAACTGCTTGGTATCTTGGGGTTCTCCTCCTGGGGCCTTTTCCCAGACTGCCCAACACAGCTAGAGTCTACCCTGCCTTTGGGGCAAAGCCTATGCCAGCATCTTCTCCTGTAAGTCTCCCGGAACAGCAAGACCCACAACAGAGGGCTTGTCCAGAGACCTGGAGTAAACAACTTCCTTCCTGGGGAGTTAGAGCATCCTGTGCCATGGGGAGGGAAATTCCAGGCCGTAGGATGTGAGAGAAATGGAGCCATCTACCGCATATTATGGGTGCTCCTTCCGGAGGCAGCATTGTGTCGTGGATGGCTCGTGAGGGCTGGAAAGCTCCAGGAGGGGAGCGTGAGCTCATGAACTCAGTCCTTCTCTTCTCCTTCTCCACAGGAGGTCCCCGGTGGCCAGCCAGCCTCCCGTGTCCAGAGTCAACCTGCAAGGTAGGCCGTGTCACTCGAGGTCTACCTCCATGTTTCAGAATCATAACTGCCCTTCTGACTTAGAACCAGGGGTATGTTCAGAGCAGTCACATTCGTCTGCTCACCGAGCGTCAGAAATGCATGTCTTAGCAGCCTTTTCCAGTAGTGTCCTTTGTTCGGTGGGGAACGTGTGAAGAACCGTGCTAGCGTGCCGTCCATCACGTGGCCCTGCTTGCAGGATGGGATGGAGGGGATATGCCTTGCTCTCAGCAGAGCAGCAGGTGGAGCTGTGCTGAGACGTCTCTCGACCTCAGCGCCTGGCCCAAGGAAGAACCCCGGGAGAGCCAGCCTCCAAGACCCCAAGTGCCCACGCCGGCCTGGGGGTCCCCGAGGGTGGGCTGGCGGCTTTCCTCTTAGCATCTACCAAAGACCCCCCTTGGTTCTCTGTCCCTTCCACGTGTGAAGCCAGGGCTTCTTTCCATTTCTCCTGGAGGCCGCCCAGCTCTGTTCTGCTGAGGAGTAGCTTTTAGGAGAGCCAGCCTCTCACCTGCAGAGCTGTGTGGCTGCCTGTGATACAGCGCTGAGTACTGCCAAGTGGAAGCCCACCCCCAAGAACACTGCGGAGAGGCACTGAGTGTCAGTTCTCCTTTGACATGAAACGCGAAGAGGTAAATGACTTTTCCTGAAGCCAAAATGGAGCTTTTCCCTTGAACCTGCCCCATAATGTGGCGGTGAATTTCAGCAAAACTATAGGAGAACAGTTAAGGTGAACTCACTCAGAGGGCTCCTAACCACCCACCGTGCCTCCCAAACTAGTCTTCCCTGCTGGGACATTGTGGTCGCCCGCTAGCATTAGGACCTTAAGTATCACGAAAGTATTTATAAAAGCCCAACTTCTAGCACAACAGAACAAAGGCAGTAGATTCAACTGGCTCCCTGACTTCTGAAGTATTTATGGTATATGCTTTTAAAAATATTTTTATAAGATTGACAGCAAGAATAAAAGTGAAAGGAAGACATTAAGTACAAGTGAGTTTAGCTGAGAGGCCTACGTACAAAACAGAAAGAAGTAAACAGTATTCTATCCATGGACTTCAAAAACCTAGTGGCTGGATGTATTATTTCCTTCAGAAGTTTTATAAAAAGAAACAAAATAGAATGTGCTCACATATACACTTGGAGATCGAAGAAGCTGCATTTTGAAACTCCTTCGTTTCATCTCACTGGCCAACCTGTGAGCTGGCACCACTGGCTGCCAAGCTTAGGAAAGATGTTTTTGATGTCCGGTTTGCATATTTAGACAATGTTTTCCTTCCTTGGAGTAAATACTGAGAAACACTAGGGGGACAGGTGACATTTAGGGCTCTCTACATGAGCTCATCAGCTGCAGAAGCTGTGCGGAGGGTCATCCGGCCATCACTGCCACAGTACTATAGCTTGGCAGCTAGAGGCGCTTTTGCAGAAAATTCTTTAAAACAACAGAGCGAAGAAATGACAATGCCACTTAGGCAATTTGTTTTTGTCTGTCTTTGTGGCAAACTACAGGCATCCTGGCTTTTCACTGGGAAGGGAATGCAGTGATACCAATTATTACGTAATTATGGGTTTCAAAATCTTCTTAACATTTAACCACAGTCAGAAAAGGAAGGAGGAGACACATCCCGTGTTTTGTTCTTATTATCAGCTTAAATAAGCCAGGCAGATTTTTCCTGTTATTTTAATATTTATCAGCATATGACAAAGAGGTGTGTTTAAAGAGCAGCTTTGAAGAGCAACAAAAAATAAATGGCTCAGAGCAACAGAATACAGAACTGGAGTGCTGGTTTAAAGCCTGACTTTTGGTGATGAATTGGATCAGGTTTTCAGTTATGGGTGCTGAATGAACTTGTGTGTTTTGATTGAAACCTAATGTGAAAGGGACAAGAAACCCAGGATAATTTAAACAGATTTCACAGCGATGTAGCTTATTATCAAACCCTGGCTCACTCAGAGAACTGCATCTTACATAGAAACAAACAGCAGAAAGCCACTTTTCCTCCTCCTCTTCCTCCTCCTCATAGTTCTCCTCCTCCTCTTGCCCCTTCTCTTACTCCACATGAATGAAGTTCAATTCATTGTAAACCTGATTGAATTGGTGCATTTGCAAACAGTTGAATTGGTGCATTTGCAAATGGGTCATTAACCAAAGTGTTCAGCTGGGGAGCCTCTTCACTGGAAACCCCTCCTCTCCTGTGAAACCATGGGCATTCTCAGCAATCCTGGCTCCACACAAGCTCCCCTCCTTTGAACAAGCATCTTAATATCTTTAATTTGGCTGGAGAGACTGCCCGTTTTGCCATGGTAACCATTTAACTTCACACTGCAGTGGCCCGGCCAGCACCCCTGCTCACCGGGGAGCCTGCGCTTGTGAAGGTAGGGGCTGCACCTTACACAGCCCTGACATTTACGGTGCGACACTTTAGTGTGACGACTTTCATGCAGTAGGAACACAGCAAACGTAGAAGGGACCAGAATGCCAGAAAACCTTGGGTCTTTCTGGGAGAGAAAGGGCTCGTAAAATTTAAACTTAATAGCTAAGATTTTTATCTCTATGGCTATGAAAAACATTCTGTTGTGTGTTTCTTTTCCTGTATATTAAAATCAGTTGTTACATTGAAATCAATAGCTGCCTAAAGCCCTTGCAAGTGCTCATCCGTGCTAAGTGTATTCTGCCAGGGTCCAGAGCTCCGCATGTGCTGGCAGCCCTCTACCTCTGCATTGCCGTGACCCTGCCTTTTGTCTCACTTTTATTTTGAAACAGGGTCCTGCCAAGTAGGCCAGGCTGCCCTCAAACTTGGGATCTTCCTGCCTCAGCCTCAAAGTAGCTAGGATGACAAACATGCTCTAGCATGCTGGGCATAGGGTTTGAATAAAAAGAGTTAAATATGCAAAGCTGGCGTTTAGTTTGGCCCCTTGCATGAGAAAGCCAGAGTAGATGGAGACCAAAGACCCACGTGACAGTGCGTCTTCCTGGGGAGCTGAGCGCGGGATGCTGCCAGGTTAACGGAGGGTCACAATTTGGATCACATAGTCTAGTTTTAAAGTTGTGTTCAACTTTAAAAAGAAAGGAAAAATGAATAAAAGAAACCTGAGGTAGGGCCACGAAGCCTGGAACCTGTACATATACAACCTGAAATCTGAAATAATGGTCAGCATTTCAGACCCCAAGGCTACTTCCAACGGGAAAGCAAGCCCGCCATTCGGGAAGCCCCGGTGCGCATGCGCAGCGCATCCTCGCGGTCCTGCTGGGTGGGTCCTCTCGCCTCGCGTCCCTGCAGCTCCTCAGTGACTATAGATATGCGGTTAAAGTGAGAATCTGCTGGGAAGACGAGAGTCATCGAGTGGGTTCTACCTTTAGAGAATGACTGCCTTACAAAAAAAAAAAAAAAAGGAAAAATATTTAACTGCCAGCCCCTCTGAGTCATGTGATTTGATTAATAATGAAATATATCATGCACTCTATGTAATATTTTAAAAGCCAAGTTAGTATGTAGGGCAAGATGTTTTCTACTACAATTTGGATTCCAGCATTTACCAGTAAACCTACCAGCAGGAGGACCATGATCAGATAGTATTAAGAAGTCTATGAGTCGTGAAACTGACGGCAAGCCACGTCACAGAAATGGCCAGGAAAGTGCCTGGACAGCCTGTCTCCTGGCGTCCGCAGCCTCCTGGCACGGTGGTTTTCAGCATCAGCCGCTGAGGACACGTTTCATGAGAGGCCTGAGTTTGGGGACATCAGATGAGGCGCGCGGGGCAGCCCAGGAAGTCTGAGACGGCTTTTCCGACGTGAGGACAGGCTTCCTTAAGGCTGTCCCAGGGCTCCAGGGAAACCCTTTCTTCTCGGATGTACCGGCCAGGCTGGAGGTAGAAGCACTCCTTCCCAGTGGATGAGACTGAAGGAGAGAGTGTCTCCCGGGAAGCCTGCTTCTGAGCAGGGGTCGATCCCGTAGTTAGGACTGTTGCTGAAGGTTCGCCGCGCAGCAGATACAGACAAGGTGGGCATGGGGCTAACGAGCTACCCGGCACGTGGGGCGAGCCCGAAGGCCGGCACGCCGGTCCAGTTCTGCTGCTTTGCTAGGGCTTCCGGGGCCTTGGAGGAGCGAAGGCCCCGGCCGGCAGGTGTGGGGCTCCTGGGGACAGGATGGCCCGGAGCTGGCGGGGCGAAGTGGGGCGCCACAGCAGAGCCCTCGCTGGCGCCTGTGAAAGGCGCAAACTGTCAGGCACTTTCGGGCCAGTAGGACTAAAGTCAGTCTTGTACCAGAGACTCTGACCAGGGCTGAGAAATTTTTAAAAAGAAAAGGAAACTAAAGATGAAAAACAGAAAAAGGGCGAGTAAGAAAAACAAAGATGTCTGACTGTTTTCTTCAGCGTTTGGAATGCCACGTGACCTAAATAATTGGGATAATCAGCTTAATTACCACCGTGAGTGTCCAGGCAGCTGCATACAAAAAAAAAAAAAAAAAAAAGAAGAACATGAAAAAAAAAAAAAAAAAAAAAAAAAAAAAAAAAAAAAAAAAAAAAAAAGACACGAAAAATGCAAACAGGAAAAAGCCCCAGTTATTCTGAGAATAATTCCCCAAGTGGCTGTTTTGTAAGAATTACTTTTGTGTATAGCGGTTAAAGAAAAGGTAGCCCCAAGCGCCATCGCTGAGCTGGTTGTACTGCCTTGCAGTTATTCCACAGATGTCTGAATTTAGGTAGGGGGAGTTGCAAAAATATTATCAAAACAGCTGAAGTATGAACAGTTGAAGTGCTGCCCTTCAGGAAACACTGCCAAAAATAACACTCTGTTCATTAACAGCCAGTTTCCTCAGCTCAAAATTAATTCTAAATTTAGTGTGAATATTCCTTCGTATTAAACGTGCCTGATGAAGAGCGCAGACTCTGGCTGCTCCCAGTCGCCGCAAGAGTTGAGTTTGCTCCGCGTGGATTCCAGGCCGTGTTTTCACACTACTGAGAAGCGCTCCCCGCCCAGCCCC